TCCGCACGCCACCAGCGTCATGGCCGCCCGCAGCGCTGGGGAGGGAGGAAGGAGAGAGCTGAGTCGCCGCGTCCCACCATCATCGTCACCATCATCATCGTTGTCCCATCCAATGACCGTGCCCGGAGAGGAGGTCAAGATGGCCGACGCCTACCTGTGAGGGCTGCGAGGAGGTGGAGGAGGAAGGTGGAGGTGGGGCTGACCCTCCTACCAAGCCCAGACCCTCACACCTTCTTTGTCTCCATCTCCGGCATCTCCGGCTGCCAACGAGTTCTGGGTCACAACGACAGGATTTGGGGCAAATGGTCAAAGTTTTGGGCAAATGGTCAAGGTTTGGGGCAAATGGTTGAGTTTTGGAGCAAAACCAATGAGATTTGGGGCAAATGGTCAAGGTTTGGGAAAATGGCTGAGTTTTGGGTCAAAACCAGTCAGGATCTGGGGAAATAGTCGCCATTTGGCAAAATGATTGAGTCTTGGGGCAAAACCAATGAGATTTGGGGCAAATGGCTGAGGTTTGGGGTGAGCAGTTGAGGTGTGTGCCCAAAATAGTCAAGGTTTTGAGGAAAAGAGTTGAGATTTGGGGTAAAAGTTTGATATTTGGGGCAAATGTTTGAGATTTGGGTCCAAATGAAGAAGATTTAGGACAAACAACTGACCTTTGAGGCAAAGGGTCTCGGTTTGGAGAAAACGGTCACGGTTTGGGACAAACGGTTGAGTTTTGGTCCGGACAAACGGTTGAGTTCTGGGCAAAACAGTTGGGTTTTGGGCAAGTGTTTGAGGTTTGGAGACAAACCAGTCAGGATTTTCTGAAGATAGTTGAGGTTTGGAGCAAATGGTTGAGTTTTGGGGCCAAACCAACAAGATTTGGGGCAAACAGTCAAGGTTTTCATGGAACGGTCAAGGTTTGGGGTGAACAGTTGGGGTTTGGGGCAAAAAACAGTTGAGCTTTTGGGTAAATAGTTGAGATTTGGAGAAAATTGTTGAGAATTGAGGCAAAACCACTGAGATTTGGGGCCAAAGGTTGAGGTTTGCTGCAAAGGTTGGATTTTGGGGCAAGAACAGTCAAGATTTTGGTCAAAGGGTTGATGTTTGGTGCAAATGGTTGAGATTTGGGTCAAGCTCACCAGAATTTGTGCAGAACCAATGAGATCTGGGGCCAACAGTTGGGATTTGGGGCCAAAAGAGTCAAGATTTTTCAGGAGACTTCAGGTTTGAGCCAAATGGTTGAGGTTTGAGCCAAAAGCAATCAAGATTTGGGCCAAATTGTTTCGATTTGGGGTAAAGGGTTGAGGTTGGAGGGGTAAAGGGTTGAGGTTGGAGGCAAATGGTGGAGATTTGGTGTAAACCCAGGGAGATTTGGGGCCAAGGGCTGATGGTTGGGGCAAACGATGGAGGTTTGGGGCAAAATTGATGGAGATTTGGGATCAATTGTTGTGATTTGGGGCAAAACCAACCAAATTTGGCACAGAGTCAAGACTTGGGTCAATCGCCGAGGTTTGGGAGCAGGCTCTGGGGTGGGTGTGGGGGTCTGGGCTGGGCA